TAAGGGGACCGGACCGGACGGACGAGTGGTCCCGCCCTCCGAATACTCGGTAGGGACCGGTCCCTACCTCCCTACCCTCCCACCTAAGTAGACGACATATGTGTTGTTGTGTGTGTGTGTGTGTGTGTGTGTGTGTGTGTGTGTGTGTGTGCATGCGCGTACATACGCATGTGTGTCTGTGTAAGGTCTCCAAAGGCTTTTAGCCTGCCCCACCCCCACTGCACTAACTCTGTCCTCAGGCCAGGGTCAGGCCAGGCCACTTGCTGGTTCTGGGAGAGCCTGGGTAGAAGGGATCTGATTTCACAATACGAGCAGTAGAGTTTGTGGCTGAGTCCTGGTCAGGCACGAACACGTTGCTCGTGGCTCTTCCGTCTTCTGGGGTGAGGTTAGTGACCAAGGGAAGCCGGTTTTCCCTCCTGCCCTACCTGGGACCTGAGAGGACACACTACCAACGGGGGTCAGCTCACATCCCTCTACGGCCGCCTCAGCCCCCTTGGGTCCCAGGCTGGCGGAGATGAGAAGGGGGTGCTCTCTACCAAACATGGGTTGGGAAACACTGAAACAGCCAAATCTGTGCCAGCTGGACCAGGGCTCACCAGCTGGCAGGGCTAGGAGGGGAGGGACAGGTCAAGCCTGAAAGGGGTGTGGTGTCTGGATTTGTTAACAAAAACGCCAGTGTGTGTAGGGGTGAGGCTGGGGATGGGAGGATGGATGAAACGATGCTGACAAAATATTGGTAGCTGATCATTGGGCCAGGGTACCTGGGGACTCATTACATGGCTCCCTCTATTTTTGTGTATGTTTGACATTTCCATAATAACACCTGCCCAACCCGACTTCCCAAATTACTTTGGCATTCTTTTCTAATAGGAAGCTTCCTCTAGTTAGGTCCCTGGTTTTCTTGCTGTCACTAGACGGCACCATCATGGCACTTGTACCCACATTGTCGTCCCACCCATGTGTGACTGCACACATGGGTGACAGTGAGTTCAGGGCCACAAGGAGAGGTCTCTCTGTCCAATCCCACAGGGTTCCAAGGCCCCTCTTCTCCAGGGAGCCAGCTCTGACTCACCATTCAAGTCTTCCCGACTTCTGTGTCCCCGCCCTCACCTGATTCTCCAAGGCTGTCCTCAACCACCAACCTCAGGATGATCAGGAGTGAGACCTGGACCCTCTTGGCCCCCGATGCTGAGACCACCAGTCCAGGCCAGCCGTCAGTTTCCCGGCTGTATCTTGACCCCCCTAAACTAAAGGAACCCGTCTGCACCCTTGTTGGCTCAAACATTTTCAGATCCTCACTTCCTGGTCCTCCTGACAGGTTCCATCCTGTCGCTCTCTGAACGCACATTGCTCGCTAATCATAACCTGTGTATTTCTCTGTGACCGTCTCCCAATCTCCCAACCTGTCCCTCAGTGGTGCGCATCCCATGGTCCTTTCCTAGATGCCCATTACCCACCAATCCCGGCTCCTGGGATGTTTATCCCCGGTCACCTCTAATGGGTTCACAAGCCCCTCCCGCTGGAATCATCCGCTCGCAGTACCTCTCCAGGTGCCTACACTTCAGAGGTTCTTACTGATTAATCTTCCCACCTGGACATTTGTTTACATTTCTTCTGCTCATTTGACACAGGACTATCTTTGATGACATGCAATTCAGTTCATTCTCTCCACTCATCCTGACTTCTTCTGCCTTCTACAGAGTGTTTATTTGGGTGTGTTCTGCCGAGGGTGGGGGAGGGAGGAATCTGGGGGTGTCTGCAGGCGAGGGTGGGTGGAAGCGACAGCTCACACACACACACACACACACACACACACACACGGAGGTGCGGGCTCCCCTGCCAAGCACCTCGCGTGGGTTATGTAAGCACGGGCTTGTCAGGCATGTGTGGCTCTGCTCTTTCCCCGCAGGTTTCGGGGGCTCTGTTAGTAAAGCGTGTATTAAAGCACGTGCAGCTACAAGTGCACACTTCACTGAACCCAGACCTTTGAAGAGTGTTCATATTTTGAACACATTACCATGTTCTGTTCTAAACAAAAGATCACACTGCTCCCTCTTTTTAGCTAATTCCTCATTTCCCTCCATCCATGGCACCACTGCACCCTCAAATCCACCGCCCCCCTCCCTAGGGCTTTACCTGCGTGGGGCGGATGTTGGGACGGGGGCCCGCATCCCTCCGGAGCCTGTGCTGCAGGACCCCATTCTCGGAGGGCAGTCCGTAGCTGGTGCAGTGTTCAAAGGGCATGTACTGGTACTGGGGAGCAGTACCCCACCAGCTCTGTTCGCCCCCATGCCGATGGGACTCAGGTGGCTCCATGCTCCCTGCCCCGGCCGGGCCGAGCCTGCCTGCCCCCGCCCTCCCTCCAGAACAGCTCCTTAAGCCTGTCCTCCTGCCTGTCCCCAAGGCGTCTGGGGCAGCATGCCCACCCCCAGCTATTTATAGCCTTCTCTCCGTCACATGACCCCCCCACTGCCACATCTGATCTGCTTGGGGTCGAAGCAGGTGTGAGAGCCGTGCGGGGGAGGGGTTGGGACAAGAACCTACGGGGCACGGCCCGGCAGGGAATTCCCTGAGCAGGGCCAGCAGCTCTGTCCCCCTCCTTACTCACTAGAAGGCTTCCAGCCCCAAGCCATTGGTCCCTCTATAAATATCATCCCGACCAGGATGGAAAACTGGTTCGCCTGCTCTCAAACCTGCGTGCTCCCCTCTAAGCATCCCACCTCTTTTCTTCAGCACATGAGGAGGTGAGGGCTGGGGAGCCGGATGCAGTGCCTGCAGGGTCTGAAAACCCTGGGGAGCGTCTTACCCGGGAGAGCAGTCGGTGCCCCTCAGTCATCCCTCCCTGCAGGGTTGCTCCCAGCTCCATGTCTTCCTGAGGGTCAGTCCTCATCCGTCGGACCAGCTCGCCCAACCCAACCAATCTGTAGTTTTCTCCTCCAGTTCTGCCTTTTCTGTCTGCCAGAGGCTGCCAGTGATGCTTTGAGGCCATCTCCTTGACCCCACCTTTATCACTCACTGGGTGTGGGGCTCTGATGGGAAGCAAGGGTAATAGTCTTGGGTTCTGGCCTTTATTCTGCTTCCCAGACTGATCTGTCAGCCACGTCAGCGGCCTGGATGTACAGGGAGGGACCGAGTGTCCATCTAGACTGTGGAGCACCCCTCAAGGTCTATCAAGGCAGGTGAGTCAACGGGAGAAGGGGAAGTGGGCCAGGGACACAGGGAGGCCCAGGGGGGAAGGGAGTGGGCACTTGTCGTGATGAGCCCGAAAGTCATAAAAGATGACAGGGAAGTACTCTGAGATTCTTCCCTTTTCAGGTCAATGAATAATTTTTGGCCAAGGCCAAACTACTCTATCCGGCATCGCATTTTTTAAACCAATCTTCCTAGGACAGTCCTTCCTCTCTGAACTCTTCATGATAGAAGAAAAGTTATAAACAGGAGCCAATGTGCGGTTTAGGACCCACCCCCAAGTGTGCTCTGTCCCAGGACAGTTCAAGTTCAGGGACCGCAGGGTAGGGACACCAAACGCCTGGTACAATAAAATTTTATTCTAAACAGGACAGTCCAAAGCAGGTGAGAAGACGAATACCATTAAAAGCACCTTTTCTGACATAAATCCTACAAGCCTGAAGGCCTATAATCCAATCGCAAAGATTACAAATGTGTGATGGTTTGAGGGACTGAAGGTCTGTGATCTCTCCCTTCTCTGTAGGCGAAAGATAAGGAAAGAGATCTAAGGAGTTGGTGTGAGATGGAAGAAATACTTTCTCAGTAAAGAAAACGGAACGCCAAAGTGAAATTATGTTCTCTGGGGGCTTCAGAAACACAAAAGGTTTCACCTGTTTGTGAAGTATGGCTCCCCCGGAAGGTGGCCAGTTTCTGTAGGGGCTTGCTAACCGCAAGGAACAAATATCGAACACAATTACTATTTCTTCACTGTTCCTGAGAAAGTCAGGTCCTGGTTATGGATTCCAAAATTTGAAGGCAGAGGTCACTGGCACTGAGAAAACCCTCCCACTCTACCAAGCTACCTAGAAGCATCAGCTGCAATTCTAAGAACCAGACTGCAAAATTAGGAGGGTCAAGGAAATCTACAGCTGTTAGGTCTGAAGTGTGAGGATTTGAGAGTAATGATCTCGAGTTGGAGATTAGAACTGGTTAAAATCTCGCGGGTTACCATTCTGCAAGAGAACAAGAAAATAAAATGTAAGCTGTGCCGACGCCCCACCCAACACCCCATGGGCACAGTCCCTAGGTTCTTTACTTGGAAGGCCAAAGATGGGTTTCTGGGGAGTTTTGTTTTTTTTTTTGAAAAACCCCTTGATTTGGAAACAAATTCATAAGCAAGCATTTATGCATGAGATATGTATGCTGTATGAAATATGTATTTTTTGGGGGTTTTAAATAGATTGTCTTGAGGTCCATGATACTAAAAGGTTAAATAGGCTTATGGAATTGCTATTTGAAGGAAGGCTGTCAAAAATGACCACATAGGACACAGGTGTAGGGGAAGCACTTTGGGGTACAGGTGGTTGCGAACAAGCCAGCCTCTTGGCACCCCGTTACCAGTTTAAGCAGGAACTTTCTCCCTGGTTACACCTTGTTTTCAGACTCCCACCTCTTCAAGTCTGGCCTCTGTAACCACTGGACAATACACCATTATACTCTCTTTAAGGGGACTTTTGGTTATGGCTTTCCCTCTGCACATCCAGCCTAGCACAGAACCCATGACCACCTACTTTTCTGAAATTTCACCTAGGCAACCGCAACTTCCTCTGAACACACTCTCCTTGTAGTTGTCCTCACTGGTAATCGTTCCTCCTGTTACTTATTGGGCCTTACCTTTCCATCCTTCAAAAATCCTTGGTCCCCTCCCATGCCCTGCACGCGAGGCCTTCCTGACATCACTGGACGGGGCTCTTTCTCCCTCTTCTGGATTTTTGAACACGATGCACTTTTCCCCCATTCTCTGCCCAGCAAGGGCTAAGATGGGATAAAGTTTTTGGGTCTCAGGCTCCTCCTCACTTACTGGGAAAAAAAAATCTATATAGGCCCAAACGAGTGGGGGGGGGATTTCACACTAGAAGTCACAGAAGCAGTATCGTTAGCTAAGGGCGTGCAGTCGAGCTGACAGATTGTCTCCCATCCGGCCTCCATCTCCTCAGAAAGGCAGTAACTTAGAGGGTTATGGAGAGAAAAGAACGCTCACAGAAGTTCCAGTGTCTGCCCCAAAGCAAGCTCTGAGTGTTAACTTGTGTCATTAAACTGAAGCTCATTCTGGGAGGCAGTTAAACAGCACCTGTAGTGTGTTAACCCCATGCGACCCACCACGCGGCAGCTGGCTTCATCCTCAGAGGGACCTTTTAAGGTAGCAACAATCTCCCCATTTTTAGGTAAGGGAGACTGACGTTCAGTGAGGTTAGGTGCCTTAGCCAAGGTCTCCCTCTGCTATCTTAAAAGGCCAAGCCAGCATTTGCAATCTGTTTAGTTCTAGAGTCTGGATCCTTCAAGCTGCCTCTCTTCTTTTTTGTATAATTGAAGTCTCTGAGCCTCATTTTCTTCTTCTGAAAAGAAAATGGGGAAACTGACGACCTCCTGGCCTGTGGGAGGGTGGTGGAATGTCCAAGCACAGCGCCGGCGTGCTGCCCCTGCCCTGAGCATCGGGTGGGTGTAGCTGTCGTCAGTGTCTTTGCCGCAGATACCTCCCCCCTTTGCTCAGATATCCCATTTGCTTCATTTCTTCCTGTTTCCCTCTTCCCCACTGCAGGAAACAGGAGGGGGAGGGCAGCAAAGAGCCGCCCCCAGCTCAGGGAGGGGGATAATTTTAGAAGAGAATCCCCTGGCAGAGGGGAGAAGGGGGAGGGAACAGGGCTGTGAAATTCAACCTGATCCCCTTACTCAAGGGCGGGGTGGAAGGACACGGAACCCGCTGGCAGAGGCTGTCCTCTAATCCCCAAGCAGACCGCACCCCAGAACGCCTTCCTTCCCTGAAACTGGGCCCTTACCGCCCTCCCCGTCCCAGGACACCTCCCCTAGAGTCCGTCCCTCCGCCCCTCCCCTGAGGACATCCCGGTTTTTCTTTCTGGTGTCATCACCCCGGTCCAGTCCATTTCTAGGGCCCCTTCTGCCCCCAGTGTTCTGCAGCCAGTTCCCCTCCCCCGCCTGGTGATGCTTCAGCGCAACTCCATCCCTTTTTGCTCTTCCTCTTGTGGATTCCTCCACAACCTTCTTTCCCCCAGGGTCTGAGGCTGCTTCCTACCACAGTGCTCCCACAGAACTTCCCATCTCTTGCGAAACCCTCATAGCCCACCTGAGCGTGCACACACGCCTCCCCAGGCCTATACTTCATCCACACTGTACCCCGAGTCCCCTAGCTTACACACAGCCCGCTGCTTAGATCTCTTCCACGCCACCCCAGAATTCTCTTACAACCGGTGTCTACCCTAGAGAAATTTAAATCCAAATTGGACGACGTGAGACATGGAATTCCACGTTTCTCATCACCTTCCTAGTCCAGCTCAGTCTGCTTCTCCAGCCTCCATCCTATAATCTCAATAATCCAGACCAACACTGGCTGCCAATGACTCTTCCATCTCTCCTGACCATGAGGAATCCCAGTGCTGGTAGCCATATTCCAGGCAGTTGCCTGCGGCCATGACAATGGACGTGGGCTCATCCCAGGTATGGACTGGGGTGTATAAAAAAGATCAGGCAGCAAAACCCGAAGGGGCGTTCAGCTCTGGGCAGGCCCTGTGAGGCGGTGAGGAACGCTGCAGGAAGCTAAGGGAGTGAAAGTAAGTGGGCTTCATAACACCGATCATCTACAGACACAGAGACACTAAGCACACAGTGGTAATAAATATGGGCATTTATTTGGCACCAATGGCAATACAAAACCCTGGCAGTGGGAAGTGGAAAGGTTCTGTCACCCAAATACTTCCATATGATACTGAGCCAAGGGCAGGACTCGGCAGCAAGTCTCTGACCCACGTGGCTCCCAGAGCAAGAGTTCACCAAGCACCTGGACCCCTGGGGGCCGAGCGCTGTGCCCGGCACCACGGTGGACGTAGAGGAAGCCGCCTCACACGTGACTTGTCTTCAGGAGCTAGTAATACCAGTGGACGAAACAAAGCACACGGGAGATACAGAGCACAAGCACTGCACCGTGCCTTCTGCTGAAAGGGAAATTTCGCCAAAAGTAGGACTCTACTTCGGGCTGCTTTCCTCCTTCCTTCAGCAAACACGTGCTGAAGGCCTACGACGTGCCAGGCACTAGGTACACCTCAGTGAACAAGAGACAAGGCTTCCGCCCTCGTGGAGCTGACAGCCTGGTTGGGGAGATAGGAGTGCACCAATGAGGCACGCAAACATATGATTATAGGTTGCAGTAAGTGCAATGCGGGGATTAAACAGGACGCAGTAACAAAGAGACACCGGACAAGATTATTTAGAGGCAGAGTGGCCTGGAAAGGCCTCCACAAGAAGGTGGCATTTCCGCTGATGCTCAAAGAAGCAGCCATTCGAGCCAAGAGTGGTGAGGAGTGGCACTCAGCGGACCCCAGCAGAGCACCTGGGGTCGGGGGGGGGGGGCAAGGAGCTCAGAATGTTTGAGAAAATGAGGAAGCCACTGGGGCTGTCCCTGACAGGGAAACCAGCACTTACTGAGGTTCAAGGGGGCAGGCAGGGGCCCTGCGGGCCAAGGTCAGGTGTTTGGGTTTTATCTGAGGAGTGACAGGAAACCAAAGGATTCCAAACAGGGCAGTGATAAGATCAGATTTCTATTTAAAACCAAAACCAAAACCTGTCATACAGAGATTGGACTGAAGGAGGGAAGAACAGCAGGAAAAGAGAAGCCTTGAAAGAACAGGAAAGTTTCATACAAGCATAGATACAGACGGCTTCTAGGGTAAATGAGTAACGTGCAGCAACACAGCAATGGCCTCCCCAAAATGGGGAGAGAGAAAGGGAAGGGGAAACAGGCCACCGAATCAAAAAGGGATTTAATACTGAAACAGAAAGAGGAATCAGGTACTATCCTTGAGCAGCCAAATGGTCCAATTAAGCAATATTTTAGACAGATTTGGCGGCAGCAGTGAACAGGATGAAATAAAGGTAAAGAGCCGAGAAACAGAAAGTAGGGAGATAACAGCTAGGAAGCTTTTACAGAAAGGGACGCTTCCTAGGGAGGAGGAGACAGATAACCAAGTACGACATAACCATGCTTATCTGCCCCCGCTGACACTCTCTGTAAGGCTCACTTCAGGAACAAAGCTCAGAGAAAGAACACCTAATTAAAAGACCTTTGAAACTTCCACGGGCCAAGATCAACAAGCTACAGAAACACGGCGTCTGAACTCTAACCTCTGCCGAAAGGCTGGATTCCTTGAGCGCCAAGAGCCAGGAGTGGAGAAGACTGTCTTCCGGCTGCGTGGCCTCTGGGAACTGAAGGGACGGCCCCACAGCTCAGGGCCGCACACACAGCAGCAGAGCGTGTCTCCAGTCCTGCTGGCCCTTTCGGAGCCAAATGAAAAATGTCTCCGTTAAATCAGGACACCTTCCAAAGTCTGGGGTAGAAAGAAAACACAGGAGATGACTTCTGAGACATCTCAGCTAACGTAATAAAAGCAAGTGCCTAAACGCTTCCTACAAAAGCCCTGGGGGCAGAAACTGGACACAAACACGGAGGAAACCCACGTGCCCTCTCCCCACGGAGACACTGCTGGGAACGTCAGTTGCGAAGCTCCTCACTGCAGGCCCAGCCAGAGCGGGTCCTACGGGGGGCTGGCCTGCAGGCCAGGCTCAAAGCGGACATGACGGGCGTGTGAAACAAGCCTGGGAGACCCCCCCAGTCCCCGAGGGGGCGGAGCAGAAACCGTGCACCCTGAAGAGAAGGCTCTACACGCCTCCTGCGGTCCAGTGGCCTCAGTGTGGCCCGGTGACGGGGAGGCGGCGTCACGTGGGAGGGTGTCCTGGGAAGAGATAGAGGTGGCGGCACAGCGTGCTGCAGTACTCGGACATCTCCTTGCACCGGTGGAACTCCGTGCCCGGGGCGTAGCCCTCGCGCTCCTTGATGAGCGCGTTCACCTGCAAAGGCAGAGACCCACGTTCACGGTCCCAGCACAACAGGAGGGGCAGGGAGAAGACGAAACTCAGCACGAGGGAGGGCGAGGCAGAAGGCTGTGCAGATGCAAGAGGCTCATGGAGCCAGGCTGAGCCAACTCACCTTCACGAGCATGTCAGCCACGTGCATGTCACAGGCCCTCTCAGAGAACACCTGTGTCAGGGCCTCAACGTACCAGGAGCCCCGCTTGGTGTTGCGCATGGCGGCCGTCCCTGCAACCGGGACGGCAGTGAGTGCAGCGGGCAGGCCGGGGGACGCCCTCCCACAGCGGCTCACCCCAAACTTGACCCGCGCGGCACCTGCACCCTCGCGGGTCAGAGCCCTGCACGACAAAGCACAAGCCTGAGCCGCATCACCCTTCAGGCTACTGTTTTGGGGCTCACGGTACCTCGGAGGCAGGCGTAGCCACAGATCATGTCCGAGCGAGTGGGCAGTCGCATCTTCAGCAGCTCCTCCTTACCCGCATCACTCTCCTCACACTCGGGGGACCCACCGTGGTTCTTTCCGTCCTGCTGGTCAACCCCGCGATCCGTTTCATCTGCAGAGGCAGACAAGATGGACAGAGATGTTATTTACTCCCATCTCTCCCATGTCTGTGACAAGCCCAAGTCCCTACAGTCTTGACTGGGAAGAGTCATTTCCAGCTGTTGCCTCCAACCTATGGTTGATGAATTAAAACAAACACACACAAAATCCCATTACTCCCATTCCTCTGCCAGCGTGCATCCACCAGGCAGAGGGTGCCCGAGACAGGCCGGGCACGTGCTCCAGCATGTGCACATACGCCTGGTCTGGGCTCTGTCCATTCTGTGTAAGACAGGGAAAGTGCTGAATCAAACACTCCCTGTGAAGAGAATTAAAAGCCATCTGTGTCCATGATTCACTTGTTCAGTTCTCAATATACCTGGAAGTCAAAGTGCTTTTTATTGTTTTACACAATAAAATACCAATGTATTTAGTTTTACTGCATAAAAAACAACTTAATTAACCAAAAATGTGATTACTACATGTTTGCCATATGGAATTCATAACCTCAGATCTATATATCAATACACAAATTCTAAAGTTAAGCATAAGCATCTATTTCCAAGGTGGTTTTGGTACTTCTAAATCATGTACTACTTTATTAATTACATAATTTATTAATTTCATAAGCCCAACTGTAGCGGGCATCCAAGACGAAAGAGAAATTTAAAAGAGAAGAAACAAAATTGGGGTAATTTGAGTATTTCCTCCTATGCAATGGAAAAAGAACACTATTATTCAATATTAGAAGCAGATTCTCAACATTCTTTGAGCACATGCCCAACCTCTTGACCCAGACATCTTCTTTTTCTGATGCTGTTTTGTTTTGGGGGTGCTAGGGGTGCTGCGGTAGGAAAGAGAGATGGAGAGGACACACAGCTTGTCACGCCAAAGGTAAAAGAGTGTGGATGCTTTTTACAGTATCTTCTGCTCCATGCAACATTCAAGAGAGCCTAAAAGGGAAGTGAAGTTTAAAGATCTGTGGGGAAAATGACCAAGATTGACTGATTAACAAAAATTTGTTGAGCAACTGCCAAGTGCCAGGCACTGTTTTTGAGCCCTAGGGGTGTAGTGAAAAAAAAAGGCCCTGCCCTCATGGGCCGACGTTCCAATTTAGAAGCCAGTCACCTGAGGTGGGGCGGTCCTTTTTACAGGCATCAGTTATGTTAACTAAACAGAATAGAAGACAGGTGAGCTTAGACTTTGAAAGGAATAGCTAGCTCCTGGTCATCCGAAGAATTTAATTTAGAGAAGATTCAGATTACCCTAGAAGAGAGCCACTTTTCCCTGCCCAGGTCTAGTATTTGTATGTCTCTGAACACAGGAGACAATGATGACAAACATCTTTATTTCATTTTATCTTGCTAGTGGTAACTCCTAAAGGAAACAGGCCAAGCTGAATGTGTCCCTCAAGAGAAAGGAGACTGCTCTCTTGCCTTTGTGCCTCAGCTCTATTAATAAAGAAGTGTCATTGGTTCTTTTTCCATAATATCTTCCTAGCTGTTTTCTAGATTATTGCTACACTCTTTAGGCAGATAAATTTCCATCCATCCATTCAATATTTATTAAGTGCTATTAGGTATCAGGCAGTGCTCTGGGCCTGGGGATACAGCAGGTGCATACAAAGCAAGCTCCTGCTGCATGTCCTCTTTTCTTAGCACTGCCCCCTGCCATGGTAATCACCTTCAAAAAAAATTCATCTCATTACTTCTTAAGTTGCCAATAGCTCTGTACTATTATCTGCTGAGGCACAAAATCTCAGCTGTGACTAAAGGTTTATAATCAGCTGGATCTGCCTCACATGGTGAGTGGTGAGCCACATCTCACCATGCAATGACTTACATAGATGTTCAGTTTTTAAATTAGATCTAGGCATACTTCTGGCTCAGCAAACCTTTTTTTTTTTGGGGGGGGTTGTCTTTTTAATCTTGGAATGCTTGATATATTGCATTTCCCCCCTTTCTCCTAAAAGGCTCTATCTGCTACTCTGTATCCAGGTTAAAAAAAAAATATTTGAATGTTTGGACAAAGTGACCTTTAAATAAAACTGTAAGCCCCTTAAGGGCACAGACCACGTTTTAACAGTCACAGCTGGCATTTCCTGTGAGTCTACCGTGAGCCAGGCTCTGGGCTGGGGAGCTCTTCCTATGTGCTATTTCACTTTAGTGTCATGAGAACCTAACCTTATGAAGTAGGTCTGATGATTATCTACACTTTACATCAAGGAAACGAAGGTGGAGGGACATCAGGTAACTTCTCTACCTTGACACAACTAGTCAGGGGCAGAGGCAGAATCTGACTCCACGGTTAGAGCTCTTCAGTATTACTGTTTTCCTCCAAGATGAGAAGCACGCCCGTGTGTCTTCTGCGCCTAGTCACAGAGTCCTAGCTCTTAAAGGGGTAAGAGACCGTGTGCAAGAAAGAAGAGGGTTGGAAGTGGTTTGTGGAAGAAGAGGAGCTGGAGGCTGACACGGGGCTCCTGTGCTGCTCTCCGGCACGGCACGTGAGGGACACAGAGAAGAGAGGACGTGAGAGCGCAGTATAAGTGACAAGTAAAAGGAGAAGCGGAGAGATGCAGAAAGAGGGAGACAGAAAATCCTTAACTGAAATGGGCGACAAAAGAGCGCATCAGAGTTAATAAGCACAGGAAAATAAGCGTTCTCAGCAAAGAAGGCAAAGACACTGATAGCATCCTGTCCCTGAGAGCAGGATGTGGCGGTGCGCAGAGAGCTGTCCAACCTGAGAGCCATGGGCTGCCCAAGTCCCAGCACACCCCATGCATCGGGAGACACTTACAGAGCAAGAGAGGCGGTGGCAGCAGTGAACAGAAGGAGGTGCCCAAGGGATCCGAAAGCACCTGAGAGGAGCAAACAGCAAAGTGAGAGCTGGTGGGAGGCTGCCCAGGAGCCACCACCCAGGTGCTGGGCTGCCAGGGCACTCACCTCCACGGCAGGCCTGGATGAAGAACATTTTCGGCTTGTTCTGGAGGCTCGGGCAGTTGGCATTGTCAAAGAGCCGGAAAACCTCTTGCAGCTGCCGGAAAGAAAGAAGGGAGAAGGGAGGTTGGCGGTCAGAGGGACCTCCCGAGACCTATGCACTACACACGCAGCCGGCGCTGCAGACGGGCCAGCGAGAGGGGAGGCGACCCGGCCACCACAGCTCTGTCCTCAAGGCTGCACACACCTGAAGCAGTTTGCCATCCACACCGTAGACACCACCCTCCACGCCGTGGGACAGGAGCGCCACTATGCAGGAGTCGGTGGCACGGTGAGCCGGCAACTGGGCAAAATTCTGGAGTTCCTCTTGCATTTCCTACAAGAAAGATACCTTTTAGTGCTGTTCACTACAGTCGGCACCGATGACAGCTTTTCTTTGGTGTCTGAAACCCTAAGCTGTTAGAAGATATGTGTTCTCTCTATTCCTGTGGTCAAGGATGAGTGAATTCAGAGACCCTGAGAGGCTAAAGAAAGCTATGGACGTACCAGAAAACTGCACCACTTCAGACAAACTTATAGATATAATTCTATAATTCACAGATTCACAGGTATGTTAAGAACTCCTGGACTAAACCAAGTTACTAATGAAGGTGATTATGCAGGAGCTAGTTAACTTCCTCGGTTCTCCAATTATCCACCAGAACCTTCTTCAGAGTGCGCCTCGTATATAAATGGCACGAGGAGGACCACCAGGTAAACAAGTACATAACAGCTACAGGAACTGCTCTGTAGAGAACAACAGTGCTTCTAGGCTGCTTTCTGAGAATTTAAGTTCCCAGAGACGGCAACGATGTCTGTGTAAGACGTTCTGTCCATGAAGAACACACTACGGAAGGTTCTGTACAGGGGCGTGACTGCATACGTGGTCTAGGGGGTCAGGCAGACCTAGGTTTAACGCCTGGGTTCATAAGTTGGAACAGGTTACTCAGCCCCTCAGGGATCGGATATCCATTTTGTAGAAAGACAATTATGAGTAAATTTTCTCCAAGTTTGTGAAGATTAAATGAGACATTGCGTATAGAGAACTACGTCTGGCACGTATTACAAAGACCTGCCATTATAATGTTTCTGTCTAATGAAGGGTAACAATGCTATTTTTTCACAGGGTAAGAATCTTGCAGACCTTGCACTACTTTTGCCACTCCTCTCCACAATCGTTTTAACGATGTGATACCAACTGTTAAACCCGTGTCTCCCTCTACAGCTCAAGATACCTGGGTCCTCTGCGATGAGCAGAGAGAAAATAATTTTATTCTATTACGAATGCGAACAGAACATAATGACGACTGTGCTATCCAGGCAGAACAGTTACAGTTCACGTGTATCTGACGGTTGCCACATACAGCTCCCAATTAAGACGCACACGTGTACAGTACACGGCAGTGCTTCTCCAAGTGTGGCCCCTAGAAGAGCAGCATCAGTATCACCTAAGAACTTGCCACAATTACAGTCTTGGGCCCCAGCAAACTGTGGTTTCCCAAGCCCTCCAGGTGATCCCGATGGGCTCATGTTTGAGAACGATCTATTTGTTTGCAATATCTCTGTTTGCAGATAACTGAGACTTAATAAAAGACTTGAAAGTCTGCAACTCCACTGGAAATGGAGAAGTTGGCTGTGTTGAAAGAACAGGTACATTTTCTGGGCAAACAGAAGCCACTCATAATATTGGAGGTCTTAAGCTAATAAAAGATATCCAAAATTCATTCATTTTTAAGAATAGGTTATCTCAAGAGAATACACAAGCATGGCTGCTTCCCTGGAGCTGACTACAATAGAATCTAACATGTAATAGTTGAAGTTAATTTTGCTCCAAGAAGAGAGGAAGAATAAATGCTTGGCATATACTCACAAGCATTCTGAACTTACATGAGATTATCAGGACAGTAAAGAGAGAGCAACAAAGCCCGAAGTAAGAACACGCAGACTTTGTCATTGAATTTGATAAGAGTGAACCATTCAATAAATGGGGGTCAGTCATTCGGGGAATTTTTCCAGAAGTAGCATAGCTTAAAATAGGATCTCTAGATCTATTTCTGATAAAATTACAGTACTTCTATAAATAGCAAGGTTCTTAACACTCACATGTGTTTCTCGCCGGGGGACACAGGAGAGGCAAGTAACCTGTGAACCTCCTGAAATTACACAGAAAACTCGACGGGCAACTGCATTTCCCAGAGATGACCCGCAGCCTGTCTGACCCTCTCAGAGCCGCCTGTGACCAAATGCAAGTTAATAACCAATACCACATGGTAAAAGGAAATTTGCCACTTTAAAGTGTATCACATTCCCTAAAATATGATAAACCGTAATTCTAGAACTAGTAACCTCATGAGGTAGATACAAGGAGGAAAGACTCTGATGACAAGCAGAACCGAACGCCTACGCGAGCAGTGAGAATTCCCAGCGCGCCCGCCAGCACTGGCCGGCCAAGGCGACTCGAAGACTGCGCCGTCTCAGACTTTTAAACTGAACTCTCTCTGCAGCAAAAAAGTGTCATAGAGGGAGAAAAAGAGGATCTTAATTTTGGGGAGCTTCTGTCTCTTTGCTGGCCAGATAATTACATGATCAAAGACTTGAGCCTCTTGAGATGGTCTTTCGGGAAGAAGGTATTCTGTGCAGCTGGCCAATGTAAAAATTACCGCACCCATTTTAACTACCTGGTTTGAGCTGAATCCGACAGCTTGGCCACTGTCAGAACCTGATTCTGCGATGTCCTCCTCATGTTTCTGCATCTCCAGGGCTGAGGAGGAGGACACGCACACGGCTATATCCCCAAGGTTCAGTCCTAAGCCTTTCTTTCTTTCTCAAAGATCTCATATTCTCTCATGACTTAAAAGTCTTTTTTCCTACGCAAGTAATTCCCAAATGTACATCTCTGGTCCTGACTTCCTCTGCGGCCCTCAATTCCCTACCTTCTCCATCTTCTTCCATGCGCAGTCATTCAACCACAAAGCCCTGGCAGCCCTGACGGTACAATCACGCCACTACACTAGTTTTTACATATTTCTCTTCCCTCTGGTCTGCTACCCTGTCCAGGCCCCAGCACCTCGCACTGGCATGATGATATTAACTCCCAGATGGATTCCCTGCCACTCTCCGTTCTTTGTAATACTGTCACATGAATCTCCTTGAATCACCACTGTGACTGCATCACCTTTCTGTTTAAAACTACCAACGATGTTCCGTTCCCTTGGGAAGACATTCAAGGCCCTGCACACTCTGGTCCTCTTACCTTCCATCTCATCTCTGGCACTCCTTTGCCCAAGACATTTGGTCTACACACAAGGTCCCTAACATCACACGTGTTTCTAATCTGTATGCTGTTCTCCCTGCACAGGGCCCCTTCACCCGCCTCTCTGCCTCAGCAGCTTCTATCCTTCAAGGGCAGTTTAAGGCTAACCCTGTCCATTTACCCGTCTGACCACATCTACCCAGGTGATTGCTTCTTTCTCTTCACTACTGTAGAAGACACTGTCTCTAATCTTGTGTGGTCCTTAGGAACGTAAGTGGACATGCTTCTTTTTTTGCTGATGTCAAGACTCCCTCAACTGAGGTCCCTTGAACTCAAGGGTAGCTTTCTTTGGTAGCTAACATAGTCCCCCCGTCCCCTCCATCCCCCTTATAAAGTGCTCAAAATTAAACTCTACTGCAATTCAAATTACAGAACAATGTAACCAAAGAACCAAAATCCAACAGGTCCTTGAATCTGCAACAGGTTTAGCATAAATGGGAACAGGATTTGTGCAGTGGGCTCACAGGCCCATCAAATCTACTGAATGTCTCTGAAAATCAGTAGTACAGAGCTGACTCGGTGATTCAGGATGTATCTTTAACTATCAAGCATATAAACTTGTCCCTTATCAACTGCATAAAATTTGGAAACCCATGACATAATAAATTCCTAGTAAAAGGAAGGACTAGACCAAAACCTGTGAAGAAGCTGAAACAGCATTCACTGTGACGTGAACTTCTAGTAGGAGCCCCTCTGTAGACATTACAGCTGATGTCCCACCCTTACCCTGTCACGCCCAGACGACCGTCACTTGAACCCTTGATGATTAAGGAAGCTGATCCTGCCATGGCTTTGAAGCAAGGGAGGGTTTACTTCTCTGCATGGGCTGTTACTGGGAGGCTGGCAGCAGCATATAAAGAACATTCAGGTACCTGCCAATGAAACTGGCCTCACGGAAAGTGTAGCCGACACATGACACTCTCACAGAAGCAAGACAGCTAAATAGAGATGAAGACCACAGACTACGCTGAAGACAAAAGAGATCCTCCGCCCCCACCTCAACAGATCAAAGAGAATCTCCTAGAAACCTTAATTTTACCACCGCCATTCCCAAAGGCAAGTTTAGGAAAATTACTATCATTCTGGAATCAAAAGTAAGAATTAGCATAAATTTACCAATGGAGTATTTTTAATCTCAAAACAGAAATACCTAAAGGTAACGAGGTCAGCGTGCAGCCCCGTAACTGAGGTTAATGGGGACTAACTCATACTGAAAACGCTTACGACTTGCAGGAATCTGGTTCAGAAGTAATCTACCTCAGATCTGTCTGTGGCCACACAACTGATAAGAGTAAGTTACGTTAATTCATGAAACTGCCACAAAACGGTATCTTCAAGGGTGACTCTAGCAAACTTTGATTCACGAGAATTTTATCTGCCAAAGTAAACCCGAGAACAATGACTGGACCCCTTAGGAGCGGAATCGACCAAGAAGTCCTGTGTAGCCTGGACTCATAGAAATATCTTCTCTGAGCTGGCAGGTTCTTCTCAGCGTCTCCTCCCCTCCCAAGTGACTGGGAATCAGGCCACCCCTGGACTAGCACTACTCAGGGAGAGCACAGCCACCCTGAGAAATCAACACTGAAGCAGCTGGCTGGCCCTAATTCTCTTTTTTTCCCCTTTCTTTCTCCTTTGCTAGACTGCAAGGTGAGAGGCAGAACACAGCAAGCAACAGGTAAGGAGAGAAAATAACCCTAGCAAGGCAGAGCCCAGCAGGCAGGGCAGAGCGGGTGTTCCTGGCCCCGAAGTGCGGCCCTTCTCTCATGTACACGTCAGCACGCCCTGCCTTGGGTACCTGTGCAGTCTGGTCGAGCAGAACGTGGACTTTGTAGCCCAGGAGCCTGAAGAGGGCGACCAGAGTGCTGTGGTCCACATCCCCTCCAGAGCGGAATTCCAGGTCTTTCTCTCCAGTGAAGTGCACATTGCTCAGCACCAGTGCCAGGCCCCGGGGCCGAGACTGCAGCCTATAGGCCTGGGGAGGGGAGGCCAATGAGACCGTGAGCTTCTCGAGGCCGGAAATCAAACTTTCCCCACGAGAGGAGACATTTCAAAAAAAACAAAGACATCACATTCTTCTACTTAACCCTCCCAAGTTGTAACAGAGAAATGCCCACAGAAGACACTCCATCAGCAAAGACTTCCTAATAAATCAGGAAGGAGATGTATACACAGTCTAAGTTCAGACGCCCAGATACGGTTTCTCATTTCCCAACCCTTTTCCTCTTACCATTTTGCCAGACTCACCAGCTGACAGTGTGCCTGATAAAACTCGGGAGTGCAAGGCTTCACCTGAAGGCAGGCAGGACCATCCCCGTTGTCTAGGGAGTATTCCACCGTATCTGCAGCACAGAGAGCCGAAAAACTAGCACACAACCCACGTGTCAATCCGAGCACTTTATTGTAACTTCAGGCACCCTTTTAATAATTACTGGTCTCGCTCACTTCCCTGGCTTGTAAGATCTATGAGGGCAGGGGCCCCGTTTGCTTTTGCTCACCACTGGGCCCTCTGCACTTAGCCTGCGTATCATAGTAGGTGCTCAACCCAGAGGATGACTAAATGGAAGATGCGAAGAGCCTTATTCTCATTGGTAGGCTGCTCAATCAGCAGGTGACAGGCCCACCATGTAGTCTTTCCTCGATGTAAAACAGCTTTATAGAGATGGGCCGATCATGTGCAGGCATTTTCTATCCGCACAAGTTGCTCAAAGGGCAATTACCATTAACAAATCACCTGTGATGAAAACAGGCCCCACCAACACCCCATCTAAACTGTCCTGCTGGCCCCTACCAAGTTCACTCAGGGAACCGCTCCCACCATGAACGAAAGTAGGTATCACACTAGGGCCAAGTCGGGTATCAGCCAAGAAAAGGGAGGTCGCCCTGCGGGACGCGCTTCACGCCACCAACGCTCACCTGCAGACAGGCGGAGCTGCTTGTGAGGGGGGAGGGACTCACACGCCGGGAAAGGGAGACGCAAGTCGTAGTCGCAGCTCAGCTGTAAGAAATCAGGGCCCGCCAGGCCAGGCCTTAGGGAGCTGGTCCAGTCCAAGCAAAACACATCTAGTCTCCCCCCGCACTGTCTCAAAAACTCCTTTCCCACCAAACTAACCCTTCTTAACACATCGCATGTCTAGGCTCCATACCGGTGGGGGTGCACGTGGAAGACCAGACAGGGTTCTGAGCAACAGCTCCTCCAGGTGACTCTGCTTGGTGTCCCTCAGGGCTACGCAGAAGGCATCAAAAGCCTGGGGGCCCCTCTTGGGCAACAAGTTGAGGAGTTCCACATTCTGGTTGAAGCTGCCCACCTTGGCCTATGATACAAGAACAAAACGTGAAATTGTAGTTACGTATCTAGCTGTAATTCTAACTCTCCAGGTGATCTTCCTAGTAATTCCATCATCCATCTCAACAATTCCTCTTACAGGAAAAAGAAGTACGTGTGAAGTCCTTCCCGTCAGCCCTGAATTGTACGTCTTCTGTGTTAAATGCTCTAGGGCGGAAGGCCACTTTCATTTCCCCAGCAAAGCGCTACATCCTTTTCACACTTCACTGTGCTCTGTTCCTAGTCCTACTACTAGTGGTATTTACTTGGCCTTTCTCTTGCCTTCAGATACCTGAATGTGCTCCCTCATTTCCATGGTGATAATGTCTTTCTCCAGGAGGTGTTCTAATAGTTCGCTCAGCAACAGCTGTTTGGCCAGCACCACTCGGTTCTTTTTCAGGGCTTCCTGATGGTCGGGGTGCATGCCACACACTCCCAATATCCTACAGGCAAAAGGCAGACAGAAGGCCTGTCAAGTAAAGATCTGGCACAGAAAAGTGGAGCGGAAGAGGTGTGGGGAGGAAGAACATAAAGAACAGGACCTACGGTAAGATTACACACATTTTATTGAATCCAGTTAAAATCAAAGGATTATTAAACAGCAACAGATTGATCATAAAGAAATGATATATAATCCTTTACGGAGAACGTTCAACTGAGACCATCTTCTGAGATGAATGGTCTGGCAAGGGGAAATATCCACCTTGACAAAAATAATACACACGTAAGTACACGTATTCGTGAGAAGGCACGTTCCTCTTTCTGACAGACCAATTTTAATTAAGGATTATTCCAGAAAACACATTATTTGTCTAAGCTGCTGAAAGTAATGAGTTTAAAACAATCACGGGTGAGGAATAAAATAATTTAATACAATGGCACAAACTCAAGCCAATGGACAGCTTAAAAAAATAAATCAGGCAGACACACATGTACACACTCTCTTGCCTACTTATCCTAGTTATGACTATGGTTTTCTGAAACTGTAAGTTCCTATGATAAAATGACACTAAAAATGGCCAGAATCCTGTAAGAACTGAGTAAGTAGAAAATATGACAAAAAATCACAGAAGATAAATGCCAATGATAAAAACAGTGTCATATGAAATCACTTAAGGAGTTAAAGCCTGTAAAGGCTAAATTATTTCAGTAATTTAGTTTACTAAGGACGTCTTTATTTCAGGGATTCCTTGGTTTTGCTATGGGTTTGGAAAGAGATCAGCTTCTGTTTATGCGCTAAAAGAATGCTATTTTCAATTTATAAAATCTGTGTGCCTAGGGCTCACCAACCTGCTTAGTCACAGTTTCCAAATACACGACAATGTGAGGATTTGACGGCAGTGAGAAAGGAATATGGTAACAGCATCAGTTTATAACTTAAAACCCTATTTTAAAATGTATCCTGATTTCAAAGATGTTAAAATATGTGTGTGGAGAAACATGCATCTTAGAATCAATGAAATACCACGCATTTATAGCATGTACTTGGCTCAACTCTAGGTTGGTTAGAGGAGGGAAAGGCAGAATCTTGTTAGAGCTGAGACCCAAGAAGATAGAACATGGACTCCAAAGGCAGGGAAAATGGTCAGTAAAACATTCCCAGGGTTATAAGCAACCAAGTCTGGTTAACTTTTGGGTTTGGGACAGTGCTGCTTGAAACTCCAGTTTAATTTCTCGTTTCTATTCAATTGTAATACTCCTGCTACCCCAAACCCTCAGTGAAAACATGCCACAACACAATCCAGAGAAATCAAAAACCTCATTTAAGAATCCCCTTAGAACACACCAGAGCAGTAACAATAATGACATACATGAACTCTGGTAAAAAGAAGTATTACTGCAAGATAACATGGCAGCTGGATACTGAGTATTTTCTCAGGATACATACCAATGGTGGGGCAGGTTTACTCAGCTTTCTTCCTTTAATTTACCAGCAGCATTTTCTCCTTGACTTTCTCCTCCCTCGGTTTCCATGACATCATTCTCTCCATTTTCCCTCTACCTATGCAGTCCCTGTTTCCTTCACAGGACCTTTAGCCAGCACTTAAATGTTGATACTACGTTAGCAACTCCCCCTCTCAAAAAGCCTCCTCCTATTCAACCTCATCCAAACTCACAATTCAATAGTGAGTAACTCCCAGTTCTTAATTCTTTCTAAGTCCTAGACTTAAATTTTCAATCAGTAACTCATTAGATTTAATCTGAAGCATTATCATATTCTCCGCACTCTTGCTCCGCCTGTATTCCATGAGGAGAGTCTCCAATGCGGACCCTCCAAAAGTAACCACAATCACCTAGAACTCCAGGATACATCTGGAAGGGCAGGAGGGGGTGGAGAAAAGGACACAAAGGGAATTCTTTAGTCTTGATTCTGGTTCCAGAGTCCTCAATTACTTTTCTGGGACTGGACCAGAAGATATTAAAATGCTATCCTGGGTGATGTTTGCCATGAAATGATATAATTGGGGCAGAGGCAGTGTCACATTTTGAGCCTCGGGAACCTCCTTGTCTCCAAGCACTCAAACTCCAAACCCTGTGTTGACTGTTTTGAAAATCCGGTCGTTAACACCCAATGCAAGATGGGTCATGATATAGTCAGTACAAAACAAATGCACATCAGGCACAATTCCAGTCTTTGCAAGTCTCACCATATTTTAAGAAAACAGAGTTTAATTGCTCATAAGGGGACCAGGGGAAAGAAAGAAGGTAGAATCTTGCAAAGAACCGTGATTTGGCAAGACTGCAAAGAGCTCCCCCGGTTCAGAGCCCCCTAGTTTGGAGGAATCGAGGCTGGACGGTCTTTGCTCACGAAGAGCACGGCCGAGAAGGAACCTGACTGCTCGCCCGAGCGCTTGAGGGGCTCAGTCGGGCCTCCCACCCTTGGCAGGAAGCGCGGACACGGCTGCTTCCAGGGGCTCCGAGAGGAGGAGGCCTCTCCCTTGGCCCCACTGAGGACTCCCGAGACCCTCCCCCACTCACCTGCGCCTCCTATCAGCAGCCATCAGCCCCTTTTGCTGGAGGGCGGACCTGGAGCCCGGGCCCGGCGCCGCCATTTCCCGCTTTTCCCGGGCTGTAAGCGCACCGCCCACAACCCAAACAAACCGCGAGCCGCCGCTTCCGCCGCATCCCTCCCCCGTCCGCGGGCGCGCCCGGCGCCTGCGCGCTGCCTCCCCTCGCCCCACCCCTACGCGAGGCCGGCCGCGCCGCCGCCGGAGCGCGCGCAGGCGCAGAGCCCCCTCGGTGCACTCGCCGTCCAATGGGGTGAGAGAGCGAGCTCGGCGGAAAGGGAAGCGAGGCGCCGCCCCGCCATACGTGGGCATCCGATTGGCCGTAGGTTCCCGCGGAAATCACGGCGCCCTTCCCGGCACCGCCCACCTCTCCTCACCCGCCTATTGCAAGAACTGTAAGGGGATGAGTGTGGCCGGCCTTTTCACTTTATTGAAGTTGAACTCTAGGGGCCCGGGTAAGGAGTGCAAGGGAGCCTAGAAGGCGCTAGACGCGCAGAGTGACGGCCTGAATGGTGGCGCCCCCCCTGAGGAGCGTAGGGCAGCGTTGGGTGAGCAGCTCCCAGTGGCTAAAACCTACATCACAGGTGTAGCACAGGATTCCAGAAAATCTGGTCTTCTGTTTAGATCTGAGGAAGCAGGGCAGGAGGCTTGGGGTAAAACCCTAGCGGTCAGAGTGCAGGGGTGAGGTTGAAGCGATTGGAGACACGGTGCAAGTGTTTCCAGTGCTTCATAATAGATGATTCAAAAGGGATCCTTAGAAAGATAACCAAAAAAATTCAAACAAGCGTTTTAAAATTAAAAAAAAAAGGGAATCCTTAGATATTCTGCCACCCCTCGCCAAGCTCACGTTTTATCTTTTCTGACCCTCATATCCACCTCTTCTCAAAATCAGAAGTCCCTCCTCCTGGGGCAGTTCACTCCACTGCTTCCCGCTAGAATGGGGACTGCTCTACTGCCCGTGAGCAGGAACTGCTCCCCATCAGCGACAGAAGCTATCACAGTTCTGATTCAGTTTGCTCCTCAAGGAGGCTGGTCACATCCCCGGTCACACACAGCCCTGTCTGCAGACACAACTGGTCCTCTAGTCTGTCTATATGAAGTCTTTCACCTCTCTTAGCAGTTGTCCAAGACAGAAAGTGAGAGATGTGCAGATAACCTGGCTTCTGTTGCCTCGTATTGAAAACACAGTGGGCTTTGGGATCAGAAGAGCGGAGTTCAAGGAATTTTTTTTTGTGCTGTTTACTAGCAGTGTTCCCCTGTGCAAGTTATCAGAATTTTCTGACCCTTAGAATCCCCATTTTTCAAATGAAGGGTAGTTAATACCTCACTTTTGTGATCTAGTAAGAGGCAAAGCCCCCGGAACAGAAGCAGCATAGGCAGTCACTCAGATGTTGTTTCTTTTCTTCCTTCACTAGATTCTCTGGATCACCTTCTCATCTCACCCTCCGTCTAACTCTGGAAATACTGGATATGGGGTAGGTCACTGAATATCTCCTTAAGTCTCAAGTTGTGCCACCTACATCTCTAGGATGTGCCACCTCAAAACTGGGAAGGGCTCACCATAGCCTGACTCCCCTCTGGGTTAAAGTCCTCATTTGTGATGTCCAGGTGGAAACACAGTTCCTAACACATAACAGGCAGTGGGAAGCATCACTCAAACGAGTGAGTCTGGTACAGAAAGATGATATATCCTGGGAAAGTCCTTTAGGGAGGTGTCCAGTTGTTTCCATAGAAAACATCATCATCAAGGTGACCAAAGCTGACCTCATAGGCAGGGGGTGGAGTAAGAGGTTCCAGTGTGGGGGGCGTCCACAAGCTCTGCAGATCAGGAATGGTGGACACAACCCGTCGTCCCCGAAGCCGAAGGTTGACCGGAGGTCTTCCGGGGTTTCCCGAGATTGCAGACCCCTCTGAGCCCACTCGCCTATCCAGTCGGGGTCTCCTGGGCTCCTCTAGTTGGTTAGGCTGTCCCTCCTCAAGTCCTGGTGGGATCACAACACTGCTGTAGGAGGGTGGTTGATCCAGCTCTTGGGGTTGGCACTGTGATTCCAACACTGTGGCCTCTTCATACGTTGGCACCTCAAAGGCTTCATTGTCCCTGAGGGAGAAATAAGGTCACTGTTGACTTCTTGAAAGGAGTCTTTTTTCCCTTTTCTATCTCCTACCAGCAAAAGACCCCTCCACTTGCCCCTGACCCCTCCACTCCCTGGTAACAGTGGTGGGAGAAAGCAGAGGCTGTGTGCCTAGAGACTAGAGGGAGACAGGGAGAATGAGTCCGTGTGTATTCCTCCAATCCTGCCCTCCCCTTAACTCACCGTGCACTGCCTGACGCCCCTGGGCTCTCGGTCTGCACTGATTGAAACCCCCATTCCGAAACACAGGCCAGGAGGCAGGCCAACAAGAAGAGGCCACCCAAGGTGAGAAAGAAATAAGCAACAGGGGCGATGTCCGGCCGTATCCCCAGCAAAGCCAGCCCCAGGAAGAAGGAGGCGCAGCACAGGAAGAGAAGCGGCTTCTCCAGTCGCCCCCACAACTGGCTTGGCACCATGGCCCCTCCCCAGGCTCCTGCAAAAAGACACACAGCTGTTGTGTCTAAACTAGCAATTGGCATTGCGACTGGGTCAGATTTCAAAATAACCATATTAGACACCCTTGTTTGGGTTTCAGGTTCTTCTGTCTCAAATCAAATAAATGCCCCCAAATAAATGATCTGCAGGGTCCACTCCAGGTCTCGAATTCTCTCTAGGATCACACTGTTGTCCCAGGGTATCAATATGTGTGGAATAGCCAGGAAACCAGCCTAGGAGTTCTGACTCCCAGCCCTCAAGCGAGTTTACTGTGTTAAGGCCCCGAGTTCCTTCCTTTTTCCTTCTTCCCTGTGATCTGTATCTTCCAGCTCCATTATTTCTTTCCCTTCCAAGACCCAGCCTTGGGCAGGCCCTGGGGCCTCAGTGCTCATCGGCATGTCTGGAATCCAGGTGGTGATGCAGGCCTTGCCCTTTGTTATTGCTAGCAGTGACCCTCCGCCTCCCCCATCCCCCCACCTGCCCAGTCGGAGGCCCTCAGTCTGACCCTGAAGAGCAGAGAGCACCGCTTACCCCGCCTGACCCTGGCTTCCTGCTTTCTCCAGCCAGAGGGAGAAAGTGCACGTAGACACCACAAAGCCACAGGGACACGACTACCTGAGAATCTCACAGACAAAGCTCTAGGGCAATGGACAGAAGCCCAGAGAATCCTTGACCTTTCTTCACCCCATATCAATCCAGAGCCCTCACCTTCCACCAGGCCTAACCCCGTAAACTCAGATTTTAAGTTTCCTGCCTGGAGTTATTACCACAGGGCCTGGGAGGTTGGTGGGGAGAAGCCTCTTTTCTCGGCAGGGCAGCAGCCACGCCTGGGCAGCCCTTACCCTCAAGCCAGCCCGTCAGGAGTTCCCTGATTCTACAAAGGGGCCAGATCCCCTCCTTGCACCCCAGCCCCAATGCCATGACCAGCCTGCCCTTCTTACCGCGCTCGGAGTTCCTCCCTCACCTGTGCACGGGACTCCGGAGAAAGCAGGTTGTGGGGAGTGGGAGGAGGGCAGGGGGTGGAGCCCACTGGTTCCGCCCACTTTTCTGTCCCAACCCCTCCGTTCCTGCCCAGGCTTCCTCCTCCTCTTTTCTGCTTAAGGCTGAACTCCTGCTTCTGCCCCACCTTGATTTGTCTGGCTCCTTGATTTACTCCGCCACCACCTACAGAACCTTCGAGAGAGCCCTCCTAATCTCAGCCCCAAAGATCTTTGTACTTTGGACTAGAATTTAATTTGCTTTTCCTTCTCCCTTCTCAGTACACTTGGTGTTCTGGGCAGTTTGCATTATATTTAGGTAGTATGATCTGTGCCTGGGAGCAGAAACCATGCGTTATTTCATCTCTGTAGACCACGTAGTGCTTTCCATCACTACTCCGGGCATGAATGATGGATTCTGTTTCCGCGGCCAAAGTACCGTTTCTATACATTCCTTGCTTTCTGCAGACCCGTAAGTCATGTTTGTGTGTATGTTTCATGGCCCAGTTAACTCGTCATTCTTCAGAAGCCACCTCCGAGGTGATGGCTGTTATGGAGACTGTCTCCACCGAGTATACACAGCACTCCTTCCTAGCCCTGCCCCAGCCTTTGCCTGTATAACCACTCTATATAGTACTTTTCTGTTATATACCTTCCTTTTGAACCCAGGCAGGACCCTGTGGGGTCCTCTTTGGTACAAAAGCCTTTCTGCGTCCCCTGTTCCGTGTTTGTAGGGAAAAGACTTCAGCCTCCTAGACATTTCCTGAGTTCCAAAGGGAAGATTCAAATAGTTTCTAATAAGGGAAGGGAGGGAATGCAGAAACAAAGGAGGAGCAGTCAAGAAACAACAATGCAGCAATTAAGCAGAATCCTGGTTCCTTGTCAAGGGTTATAGTAACAATATCCCCTTGAGTTCTTCCACAGCAACTCAGGTCCCCACCTAGCTGTAGGATCGTAACTTCAGGCTGAACACAAAGTTCCTGGACCACCACCCTGTTATCTCATCACCAACCAATCAGAGGAAAGTCACACACCTTGTAGCCCTCACCCCAAATTTTGCCTTTAAAAACTTCCCCCTAAACCATCGAGGAGTTTGGGTCTTTGGAGCACAAGCCACTCTTTTGCCTTGCATGACCCTTGCTGTAAACCTTTCTCAGTTCTAAACTCCAAGGTTTTGCTTTGTTTAGCCTCACTGTGTGTCCAGCACATGTACTTGTGTTGGGTAACCCTTCCACTGTGTGCATCCCAAGGTGAGTGATTATTTCAGGCATCTCTGAATCTTTGAAATGAACAGAGTTCCTGACACATGGTAGGTGCCACTAAACCTAGTTGAATGCTTCCATTAGAAGACTACCATTTCACCTGGCCTCACCATAGACTGGAGAGCCGGCACCCACTCTTTTCAGTTGTGGGTCTGGCAGGAAGTCTGGGTGAGGCAAGTGCTGGGAGGTGCAGAGTGGCCAGAGGCATACTGTGTTCTTGAGACAAGGCTGGGCTCCATGCTGTCGGGGTGTTAATGTACAAACCAAACCGAGGCAGGGAGCAGATAATGGTAGCAAATCTAATCCCAAGAACAGTCCTGGGGCACTGCCAGGGCTCCT